AGTGCTAAATAGTGCCTAAAATTGCTCAGCATTTTCTCCTCTTCGTCGGTGAGAACAAAGAAACACTGCCTTAAACCCATTCTGCTGACGATATCTTCACACCAATGCGAGTCTGTTACCAAATAAGACCCAATCATGGACCGTTCAACAAGCTACAGATACTTTTCTTGGTTGGCTAAGCTTATACAAGTGTTCTTAATGATCTGTCTACCAAGGCTAGTATGTTTTTGAGGAAGGTGTCAACACTTAGGCTAACCCACAGTTGTTCTTACGCAACTCACTGACTCGACTTACATTGTCGATATTAAGGACCTACTTTGCTATCAGTTTGTGTTTTCTAATTGCTTGGTTAAAATCTCCAAAGCAGTTTTTTTCTCTTTAATTTGCTTAGTTTTACGGTTCTGTGTTATAGTAGAGGCGGATGACGTTTGCTCCATGCATGTATAAAAGGAGGATAGGCATGTCAAGAAGGGAAACTGAACCTTATAAGGGAATGCAAATAGCACTTTTACATTAAAATACTACCTGTAAAAGACACTTGCTACTACGTGAGGTGGATGTGAGATAGGATCTAGATTTTGAAGGCTTCCACGTATGCCTGAATCATTCTCTTGACAAAGATCACTAACCATGACCTTAATGCCAAACAATTCCACAGTCGGAAAGTGTAAAAAGAGAAGACACGCAACGTAATTCTATTTTGATTTCTTAGCCTGATCTCTTTCCTTAAACTGTCATCGAGGGGAATAAAAGATGCATATATTAATAAAGAACTGCCTTTCGCAAGCCACTAGCCATGGCTTAATGTCAGCCATGTCGGCTCGAAAAGAAGCCGAGTATAGCGTTTCTATGGTTCTACCTCGACTTCTCTATACCACTGGCCAGCATTAAGAATGATTGTCTTGCCAAAAAGTGTCTCTTGCACGCAATTAAGAAAATAAGCAGCCAGGGCCAAACACCAATCACCTCTAGTTCGAATGTTGTAAAGTGAGTGTGACGCACTTTAGCTCTCCTACCTCAATAGGAGGACAGCCTTTTGCTTGCACTGAAGAAAACCACTGGACAATGCCCGATGCCAATCAGATGCAGCTTTAAAGAAATAAACGTGAAACTTCTAAGTTCCTCTTTCTAAACGCCTAAGCTTATGTGGCCAAGGCTTCTCATTACAGACGATACCTCATTCTGGGCACTCCTTCGAGACCAGTCGACGTAAAGTAAGTCTCCTTGAGTGCAATACAATGAATTCATTGCAAGTCGTTCAAATTTAATGCAGTGCTTTGAAACCGCCTTTTGTTGCTGTCTAAAGGTTTAAAAGCTCTAAATACTGTTTCAATCTTCGTGTCAAGTGAATCCGACAGGAGCGTTTGTGTCTGCGGTGCAGCCGGATTTTGAGAGACGCGTCCACGTTGACATGATTGATGCGAGATGTGACGTTACTAAAAATTCAAAGATATCTACACTGGATTTGTCAACCCTTTCACTTAGGGAATTACCTGCTTACGGCGTGAAGGTATGTGTTCTCTTTCCTGATTCTGCTCTATTTTAGAAGGTCAGAAAAATTTAGAAATTTCCGCCTTCACTATTCGGCTTACCCCTTACAGTTTAGTGGGCTAGAGCATGTTTGACTCTAACCAGAGACTTCATTAGAGCATGTTTCCTTCCACATTCATTTATTTCTGTTTCACAATCGCCTCTTGTGCTCGTGATTACTCTTACAGATATTTTGATCTAAAGATTATATCCGAGAGGTAAATAATGCGTAATGTTGGTAGAAAGAGTTCATATGATATCACTGTAGCTTTACTACAGATCGTGAAGAGCACTGTGTAGAAAAGCAAAGAGCTAGAATATAGGTGTTGCCGTAAGTATCACCTATGATAAACCGGTCGCCGTTACCGGAGTAACAATTGCATAAATACACTACGAAGCTCTCCTAGCCCTCAAAAGCATATAGGTATGCGTTTGAAGCACATTTTAACGCGACTTTATGTACATGCAATTCAAATTGTCAAATGTATATTCTCTGCGATGTTAAATTTGCAATGGCCAATTTTTGACAAGGAGAGCAATTCGTTCGCAAGTCTGATAAGTTGCCCTACGGCAGTTTAGGTGGTATACTGAGTAGTCTCTGTCAGGTAGTAATGGATTGCCCATGCTGGGCGAAAGGAGCTAACAAATTTGACGTATTTCATATCGTTATTACTTTGTTGCTAATGTTTGTTGCAGGAGAAACCCTTTAATAATAAACAGGTCACGTCTCAGATGTGGGGTATTTGAAGTCGGTTAATCTTCTACCCACCGTATTTAAGTAGCAATCATTTTGGCACCTCACTGTCACCTGCTTAGGGCACCTTTGAAGTGATATCAATAAGGCACAGTCCCACTCAGAGGCTTTGTCATTCGGTTATCCGTGGAGTTTTTAGAATGTGGTGTGCTCCCTACTTCACCACATATGGCGTAAGGTATGATCATAACCATGATCCACTTCAAATTAGGCGAGACCTTAGATCCAAATGAAAACAGTCCTGTCTAAATGTCATTAAAGCATGCTGGATCCCGCTATTACCATCCTTAAAAGAGAAGAATCCTCTTCCACTTCTACGAAACCATAGACAAGGAATGTTGTTCGGAGTTGACACCACGCGACACGTGCCACCGATTGAATCACAGACGTGTCAGGTGATGCAAGGAATTGATTCACACAGCCAACCGCTAGACGTGCTGAACTGCACGCTACAATGCTTTTCGCTACTTCTTGCACTTCTGCGCATTGCTGACATTCCTACCATCCAGTTCATCATTAACGTCCCTCTACCGCTTCGTTTCGTCTTCGCCACCGGTCTCCCCTCGTCCTCCACTCTTACCGCCTCCCTCTCCATCTCCTCGTCACTCTTAACCTTCCAATCTGCCGCTTCAGAGACGTCAGAAGATCAAAACGAGCAAAACAGACGAAAGTCGTAGCAAGCAAAGGCAAGTTATTCTACTACCTTTACCTTCGACTCCTCTTTCTCTCACTTCTACCCTTTTTGCTTTCCCTCCTCATCCATGTCCATTCAACCTTTCAATATTGGTTCGGCTTTTAGTCCAGTCATTTCAACTTGTGTAGAGACAATTATGAGGAGCCTCTTCAGGCATATCGTTTGGAAGGCATGCATATTTCCCCCAACTAAGTCGATTGTTTTATATTTCATTCGACTTCATTTCATTCAATCGACTTCACCTCATCTCATGTCTCGCTTCTCACCTCTAGCAAATACAGTATGGAAGCCGTGGTCTTCGTGGAGTACATAGGGTTTTGCAACTTCTGTACTACGGATGCGTACTTGGGCCATTAAACAAGGCTTGAGGAGTTAGCAGTGAGGAGGTAATAGAGGAGAGTGATAAACAAGGAGTGAAAAATGGCAGTAAACCGTGCATTCCAATGTTTGAGATACATGGGGCACGTTTAACGCAAAGAAAAAAGTAATGTTCTTTCGAGCAAAATAATAGTTTACACATATATGCAGAGTAGGTAGATAGGTAGAATGATGAGTTGATGACGAGAAGTTGCATCGAGAATGGATAGAAGCAGGGTTAAATAAAGAGAGCAAAGAAGATGGAGAGAGGAAAGGTGGGGATAAGGTCGTTTGGAGAGGCAAAGTGCGCATGAGGAGAATGATAGAAGAACCAAACTGACTGGACGTATAGAGAAGGACAGGGAGAACGTGTCACTGAAGTACATTGCACTCAAGGATATCATCGATGGATAGCTGCATGAATGAAGGAATGAATGCTCCTATCTAATCAGGTGAAAGAGGTGAATGCCGAAACTATTACTAATTTACTCGAATCGCCAAACTTAGTGAAAAGCTCTATTGCCTACTTATCACGATGTCAGTGTTTTAAACAGAATTAAGTTTTGCACTATTTGACTCCTTGGGCTTGAATGTCCTCAAAAGAATGCGAATAATAAATATATGGAAAAGCTTATTCGCTAGAAATATCTGAGTTCTCCATCACACGTTCCTGTGCCGATTTTCAATTTCTATAATTCTTAGATTCCCAGCTTTCTAGTATCAAACCCTGCATTTTCTTAGAAGTCCTAACTTGAATGCATATCTTTGAGAGTAGTATGGATTAGGACTCCTGCTCAGTTCCTCTTCACTGGCCAACACATAGCTGCGATATGCTGAAATTGAACGGACAACCACTTTTGGGCTAAGGACACTAGCATTATAAATAAGTGAAATGCAAGATCCTGGAACTCGGGATACGCTCTGCCATTTGGCGAATCAGTCACCAGTCGGTTAGTAGTCGGCCACTAGCTACTGGTACTGTATGCGTGTGCCGTGGCTGATAGATATTAACTCATATCTTGATGAAGGGAGTGATATAAGTGGAATAAGTGATCTTATCGCGGTCTACATGGTGTACTCTATAGCCAGATGGCAGTATTTCTCAGTGGATGGGGGCAAGTTGCAAGCTGTGGCTCAGAATGCACTGTTGGTGCAGCTGCATCGTAGGTGGTTGTCTCCACTAAGGAATTGCAGTTTGTTGCTCCTTTTTGTAGCATCATCATCACCACCCACAATGCTGCAGCCCAATTCATGAATTCAAGTACAACTTTTACTCATGTGGACATTTTCAACGATAAATGCGGCAGGTAGTGCTAATGTAAAGGATCATGCTCCCATCTTTCTAGTACGCAGTAGTCATAATCACTGAAATATTCTGGTAAATGGATTTTCATCCAAGAAAACATGTGAAACTAGAACGAATCATGAGAAGATCACGACAGGTGCATTCGAGAAATGCGATTCGAGCAACAATCTGGACCATCACTACGATGGTTGATCCGCCTGCTGGGCATCTGGACCATGAAATATCAACTGGAAAAATTAACGTTTTATTAAAATTTAATTATTTCAATAATTTTCCGTTAATATACTTGCAGTACACTATTATATATTCAACATATTATGTGTTGGTATTTACCAAATCGGAAATAACATCCTGACGAAAATGACGTAATTCATTAACCTAAACAGCCGCGTAGAATATGATGTCGAGGCAACTCTTGGAGGCAGTTGGAACAATGTACAGGACCAGCGTAGCTCAGTGAAACCTTCACAGTAAGTAAAATCTCTTGTACTCATCACAAAACCGACTGGGTAAGATGGTTCGGTTACTATACCCTGATGCTTACAGCGCCTCATTAGGAAATGCAAATGCCTAAAATTAACCTGTGATATTCAGCCTACTTTAAATGCGCGATATTTGGGGTGGTATATGTAAGTCAATGCAGTAAATATAAACAAAATTACACAAAATGCTAAAATAACAAATCCTTGATAATTAACGGATTGTTATTTTTATCATTATTACCATTAGCTATTTGCTTTTTTGTGTGACAAATAAATTTAACATATGTTTGTTGTCATGGAGTAAAAAT